GTCGTTACAAATCATATTTAAGTTTTAATGCAAACTAGAAATTTACATTGATTTATTTTTTTTTTTTAAATCTGATTTTCTATAGTACTTGATTTATTAATCTAATCATTAAAATAATAAATCAAATGCAGCAGATGTTCTTAAAATTAAAATCAAAACTAGTAATATTCACACAAACAATTCGTTTAATTCATAATTTTATTCAGTTTTTTTAACTTCAATTTTTTTTATAATAAATAATAAACAAATAAATCAGTAATTAAATATATAATAAATATAATATACATTAGAAAATTGATAAAATACATAATTTTTTTTACTTTTTAAATTTTTTAAGCATTTTTAAAAATATTTTTGAATATAAAATACAAAAACAACGAAAAAATGTAACATAAACAATGAACAAAAATAAAATATAAACAACGACAATTACAATAAATACAATTAAATTCAAATAAATAAAAGAAAATTGATATATGTAATATTGTTTTTTTACTTATAAAATTTTTTTAACATTTTTTTAGCATTTTTAAATATAAAATAAATACACAACGAACAAAAATAAAATAAAACCAACGATAATTACAATAAATACAATTAAATTGAAATAAATAAAAGTTAATTAATATATATAATATTTTTTTTTGCTTTTAAAATTTTTTAACATTTTTTTTAGCATTTTTAAATATAAAATAAATACACAACGAACAAAAATAAAATAAAACCAACGATAATTACAATAAATACAATTAAATTGAAATAAATAAAAGTTAATTAATATATATAATATTTTTTTTTGCTTTTAAAATTTTTTAACATTTTTTTTAGCATTTTTAAATATAAAATAAATACACAACGAACAAAAATAAAATAAAACCAACGATAATTACAATAAATACAATTAAATTGAAATAAATAAAAGTTAATTAATATATATAATATTTTTTTTTGCTTTTAAAATTTTTTAACATTTTTTTTAGCATTTTTAAATATAAAATAAATACACAACGAACAAAAATAAAATAAAACCAACGATAATTACAATAAATACAATTAAATTGAAATAAATAAAAGTTAATTAATATATATAATATTTTTTTTTGCTTTTAAAATTTTTTAACATTTTTTTTAGCATTTTTAAATATAAAATAAATACACAACGAACAAAAATAAAATAAAACCAACGATAATTACAATAAATACAATTAAATTGAAATAAATAAAAGTTAATTAATATATATAATATTTTTTTTTGCTTTTAAAATTTTTTAACATTTTTTTTAGCATTTTTAAATATAAAATAAATACACAACGAACAAAAATAAAATAAAACCAACGATAATTACAATAAATACAATTAAATTGAAATAAATAAAAGTTAATTAATATATATAATATTTTTTTTTGCTTTTAAAATTTTTTAACATTTTTTTTAGCATTTTTAAATATAAAATAAATACACAACGAACAAAAATAAAATAAAACCAANAATAGAAAAACAACGAACGAAAATAAAATATAAACAACGACAATTACAATAAATACAATTAAATTCAAATAAATAAAAGAAAATTGATATATATAATATTTTTTTTTTACTTATAAAATTTTTTAAACATTTTTCTTAGCATTTTTAAAAATAAAATAGAAAAACAAGGAACGAGAATAAAGTAAAAACAACGATAATTACAACAAATATAAATAAATTCAAATATAGAAAAAATAATTAAATTCAATGTGATTTTTTAGTCTGTTATAAAACTATTTTCTTACAATTATATTGGATATTATAAAAAATGGAACAAACAAACAACACGAAAAAACAGAATTAATACAATGCAAATTAAAAGGAATGCAATAAAATTCAAACAAATAATAAAAAATTAAAATTAAACATGATGTTCTGAAGGCATGTTAAAAGCGCACAAAATATATGCTTTTCTCACATACACTTCTAAAGGAGCTCTTTTCACAATTATATTTGAATGTTAGAAAAAATATTGCAATACATAAAATATAGATATTTCTGACATTAATTTCAAAAGACGTTATGGACAGAAATCATGCCCATACATATCAATAGCAGATAAAAAGATGCTTTCCATTTAATTATGGCGCAATGTATATGCAAGTCGATGTGCTGCTAGTAATACCTGTCTTGCTTTAAATGCAACCTTAACATTTTTTTGCTTTATTTAAACTTGTCAGATCATTTAAAATGAATAAAAGAAAATTACTGTTAAACATGTTTTTCTTTTTACTTATGAAAATTTCTATTCACATATTGCACATTTTAAAACATAAACCAAAAAATAATAAAGAAATATGAAAAAAAGCAATGCAAATTAGAACAAATGCATAAAAATGCGAAAAACAAAAAGAAAATTGAAATCCAAAACAATTCTTTTTTTGTTATTTTTATAGATTTCTCTTTTAGTTTCTTTGGACATTTTGTAATAAAAAGAGAACAACTAATTAAAACTAGAATAAATGCATAAAAATGCAATTAACAAAAAGAAAATTTAAATTTAAAATTCTTTTTTTGTTATTTTTGTAGATTTCTCTTTTAATTTTTTGGACATTTTAAAATAAAGAGGAAAAAACTAACTAAAACTAGAATAAATGCATAAAAATGCAATTAACAAAAAGAAAATTTAAATTTAAAATTCTTTTTTTGTTATTTTTGTAGATTTCTCTTTTAATTTTTTGGACATTTTAAAATAAAGAGGAAAAAACTAACTAAAACTAGAATA